TCACAGTTGATCATTTCGTGTTCGTGATGATGAATAAACTCAATAAACTAGTTAAATAGCAAAAAACAAAACAACAGAATGAATCCAATATTCACTAGCAGATATAATTTTTCAGATTTGACACAATCCTAATATATCGATCAACGTCAATAATATACTCTGTTCTTCGCAATAACATCACTTATTTGTCCATAAAAAACAAAGATATTGGCATTAACATTTATCAACTATCAATTGGTGACTAAAATAAATAGAATAATTGACTATTGGCATCATCTTACGACACCATCAGAAATACAACAATTGATCTACTAGAATTTCCGAAACAAAAGCGCTTCACAAACCACCAGTATATAAACATCTTAGGCTAACCTAAATTCCCCTTTGCAACTACGTTTATGAAATATACCTATTACTCCTTCCCCATAATAATTTGGCCAGTGAAACCTGTGGCGACATCTCACAGCGAATGCTTGAAACCCGCATTATGGTGCAAACCCATCAGAGGGCGGCCCTATCAAAGAACGGCGCTCTTCGTTATAAATAACCCTATTTACATTGTTTCGACTTTGAATGGCGTTACAGAGAATGAGCACTGTCCACAGAGGAAGATTAATTATTTTCTTTTGTTACAGCTTTCCGAGTTGGAGCAGAGAGTGTTGGAGGCGGAAGGACGCGCCGAAGAGGCGGAGGACAAGGTAAGTTTTTCGACGGTATCAGATTTTTTCGATGGCACAGGAAAGTAGCACGAATTGCCAATTATCAAGTTGATTCTGTTTTGGTTATGTATTAGAATAGAAATCTAGAATCTGTCATTGTTAAAATTGTGTGTCCTTCTTATTGAAAAATGGAAAATGATTTTTCTAGGAAATTTAGTTTTTTACTTAGTTCTGATATAAAGAAAATGGGCATGTGACAAACTTTATGATTGGTTGCTCTGGCCCTGATCCTTTTCCAAAGTTGGTTAATCCAGTCATTCTCCCAAAGAGGCGAAGTAGTAATTGATCAAATAATCCTGATAATTCGATGAGTATACGGGAGAATTGACAGGTCATTCATGCTATTTTTAGAGTCAGAGTCATCACCTAGGACAGGAGTATAATTGATTTATATACATAATTTTAATGTGTTTTTCCGAAATCAATTATGAAAATTTACAAGTAACACAAGATATGATTATTTATTTGACGTGAAACTTAAAGATTGATATTCAATTATTATTTATGCGTATTTTTGTCACTGGCATACATTCTCCATCGACATGAATATCTCTTCATCTCGCGAAGTTTAAAAATTTAAGTCACTTTATTCTGATCATCTTAGTGAAGGCTAGTATGGTCAAATTGGATGGGAAAAAGTCGAGAATTAGCCCAGGCTGCTTATACAGAGTCGCACTGAGAAACGACCGATTTTTTATAATATGCGGCTGGTATAGTATTTTTTTAGATGGAGTGTAGGGACACAAATTAGTAGTTTCTTTAGCCGTATCAGTACTTGACATTTCAAAAATTTTTAATTTCAAAATACCGTATATATATATACACATCACAGGCGTTGTTAACACGTAACTGATCATTTCGATACTGTAACAATGAATTCCATCAATCGATTGCAGTTAAAGCTGATTGGATAGCGCAAGAAGGATTGTTTATTTTTCCCAATAGATGCAAATGTACGCGCTGATCATTTTTTATCACGCATTTATCTTTGTTTGGGTCACTTTGTTTATTGGATGGATATAGTTTAATAAATTAATTGACGTAGACGTTACTAAGTGGTAGGAGATCATAATTTGTTTCGTCCTGTAAGGACATTTTCAAACAGTTACGATAAACTGAAAATAAATCATATTTTTGAAGGACGAAACTGCAGTATCAACATTAGTAACAAATAAAAGTGATAAAAAACATAGAAAGGATATAGTTTACTATTTTATACACTCATTATAATCTAGAAGTCGTGGTAACTCGTTAATTATGAGTTTTCATTATGTTCTATCACGGTTTTTCTCCCAATTATCGTTTACACTAATCTTCCAACAAGTATGCAGTTTGTGGAACTGATACTCAGATTCGATCCCTCTTCTTGTTAAAGCTTAGATAATTGATTCTGAAGAAGTATTATTAAATACATCCTCATTGTCTAAAAAATCAACTAAAAGCAAATTCTGCTTATAAACTCTTTTAGCGTTTGAAATACGTCTTCGCCGCGAGTAGTAGAGGCCAAGACTTGCAGAACAAATATTCCTCCTTTACATCATCATCTTTAATGTGTCATGTGAACACCAATAATTAATAATAATAAACGCCGGCCCGGCCGCCGCTAACCACATCGAAGCCGTGCTTCACCTCTTCCACACCGTCGCTCTACCCGTCGTCACCGTCAGCCGCACGCATAAGAGCATCGTGCTATCATACTATCATTTTGTTTTATTATTTTAATACTTTTTTGTGCCAACTCTGTTACCCCCTAGAATTGCCGTTTTATCCCTGCGGGGGTAATTACCCCCAGGTTAGGAAATACTGCCATAGAGTCATTTTTGCTCTGAGGATTGAATCCAGTCTTCAAAGTAGAAATTACTATTCTTTTTGCAGCAATACTGGATAAATGGCCAGTTATACTGTGTCTATGAGATATTTTACTACATAATACTGCTGTTGTGATATGATATAAGAGTAATCTAAATCATCATCAGCTGCAAAGCCAAGTTTCGACCGCAGAACGAGATTCTTCCCCTTTGACCGCAGCTTTGTGCAAGGTAACTAGATGAAACTAGGCATTAGCTATTAGATAGCGCAAATACAAACCCCGGAAAATCCGGCAAATCAGAGAAGCTATCGAAAAGGGAAAAATTGATTAATTAACAGAAGAGACTATTCAATGAATATTTCGACAATCTGGCAATCAATAATCAAGAACATAAACTGTGAATTACTGAATTAATTGAATTAATGAAGTCATTACAGTACCGGAGGCAGCAAATCAGCAGACACAGACATCACAACTTACGCAAAAATCCCAGTGTCGAAAATCGAACTAGATTTGTTAATGCTCGCAACAGCTGCAAACTCCTTCTGGTCGGTAGTTGAAGCTGTTAATCAAAACTTTACAGAATCCGCAATTCTACCACTAACACAAGCGGATGGTTCAAGTCAACAATAGCAATAGAAAAAGCGAATCTACTAGCTGAGCAATTTACGTCCCACTCTACAGTCGATTTTCTGGGAAAGGCACCACCCACTATTTCCATACTAGAATCCACAGAGCCGAAAATTACTTTTCGACAACGTCTAGTCAGACTTAATTACAACAAGGCATCTGGTCCTGATGATGAATGCTCAACGTCCTACTTAAAAAGTGCGCAAATGAACTCACACCAGTATTTTGCAGAATTTTCAACCTGTCTTACAAGTAAAGGATTTTTCCTTCTTGTTGAAAGATTCCTCGCATTCAACCTATTTCCAAAAATGGCAAGCAAAAACTTTCAAATAACCAGTCGCTTTGCTATCAGTGATATCAAACATATCACCTAAATATTTGGAAGGCTTCAACATCTTGGGCGATCATCAATATGGCTTTGGGAAACAAATATCAATAGGCGACCTTCAACGTATGTCACCCATTTTTGGAATAACGCAATCGAGAAACATGGAGAGTCAAGAGCTGTTGCGCTTGATATTTCTAATCCTTTCACCGTATGTGGCATAAGGGTTTGCTGTTTGCTGGCCAAACTGTGATGCTGTGTCTTGCCGGATCATTTTTGTGCATGCTCTTCAGCTTCCTGAAAAAACGTTACCTGCAAGTGGCCGTCGATAGATATATCTCGAATACTTTTATCATCAACGCTAATGTTCCCCAGTGATTCATATTGTTCCCAACCCTCTCATTGCAAAAAAACAAGAATCCAATATATTGCTTTTCTGGCGACAGCACGCTTGTCATTTCCTTGGCATTCCAGGACATCGTCTGTGGATGCACATCTTCACCGGCAGCAGGAGGTTGCATATCTTAATGACGATCCAGAAGTGATTTCGAATTGGAATGAAAGTAACCAGTTTCAATTCAGTACCACAAAAACCCAGGAATCGGTGTTCTTCTAAAAGATAAATGTCTCCGAACCGGATATAATAATGACAGGACAAACAATTCCGCTTTTTGCTTCGGTAAGTTTTTTGATGGTTAAAAAGGACAGCCAATATGTTCTGGCACAATCATGTCGCTGGAATTGCAAAGGCTGCTTCTCATAAGCAAGGAACACTGTTCCGAACCAGAAAACTGTACACACCTCAGCAACTTTTCATGCGTCATAAAGCTCAGATCAGACCTCCTTTGGAGGATTGTTCTCATGTATGGAGTTCCGCCCCTAAGCATACCCTGCAGCTATTGTATTCCATCCAGAAAAGAGTCATCCACCTGATTGGAAACGCCAACATCACTTCCAACCTCGGTAGTCTGGAACATCGAAGAAAGGCTTGAGATTTGTCTCTCTTCTATAGATACTTTCAGGGGAAGTCTTCAAGTGACTTGACACTTTCATTTGGAGAACGGGGAATAAACTTACTGAGAACGTTTTCCCAAATGGATTCAATCTTCAATCAAAAAACATCGCAAGATTCATCGTGTATATCAGTTATCTACCCCTCACGAAGTCACGGAAGTAGAAGCAGTGACATTAGTAACTAAATCACTAATATGCTATACATATGACTCGGTCATCCTAGTCAAGACATATATAATATAATAATATAGTGACGGAAAGTATCCAGCATATTATAACAAAGAAAGACTTGACAAGAATCCATCTAAAATAATGGTAGAAGCATTCACCAAGAGGACTAAGATAGAGGAACTCTAACCTCAAGAACCCCGAGGTAAAGAGATACGACTGACATTGGAAGTTAAATATCTGAAAGTGATACTGGATCCCATACTGATCTGAAACCAAACTTGAACGGGCCAGATCCATCTACTGAAAGACATGACATATCAGATATAATATAATGGTTATACTCAATGGTCTTAGACATTCGACAACACATGTTTCTTTGGTTTGTTGGCCGAAAATGAAAAAATGCTATTAACAAACCTATTTTTTGAAAATAACTGGAAGGAAACGTTTTCGCGCACCACATGATATCGAATTACATTTTTACAAAAGAGTGGACGACGTCTCGAGACTTCACTTCGTAATACAGAGCCTGAAAGCTTGATCCATTTGGATCTTGATGATTCCTTTTTTGGTAGATGTCCCTTGTGAGTGGGTTTTCAGTATACAGATGTTTCCCACTTAGTGTCGGTCCTCTTCAGCAATACTTCTAAGAATGTCAATTCGTTGTGGACTTCCTTCTCCATTGAGAATGTGATCGATGCTGATGTGCTTTAGTAAGGTGTCTAGCTCTGAATCCTTATGGTTCCATACCATGGAGGTGTCGTCAACGTATCTCAACCAGACTCGGAGCTTCTTCAATGACCAGAGTTTCAAACCACCCCATACATATGTTGGCTTCAATGGCGATATTATTGGCAGTCCCTCATCTTGCGTAAATAATCCATCCTTCAGTTGAAAGTTGCAGTTCCGTACACAGCTCACCCTCGTAGGTCCATGATAACTCTCACAGGTGAGTTCGTTCTTCCAGGTCCTCGTCTTCGGATAGCTTTCTCTGTATGGTTTGGAGTGCTTCTTCGACAGAAACGGTGGTGCATACGCTTCCCACGTCGAAACTGATTGATTGGTCTTGTTCCGTTACTTCGATTGCCTCTAGTAATTCTACAAAATGGCCTTATCCTTACGAAATACGAAGTTTTTCCTTGCAGTACTTGTATATTTGGAAGTGAAAATCATATCACTCCTAAGTAATAAAATTCACATTGAAATATTGTCAAGCACTTTCAAACAACAACTTATTTGCTCTATCACTTTCAGTTCCAACCTTCTGTACAAGAAGTTCAAAATGGAACTAGCATTCTTCCTGACGAAGACAGTTGTGTGATAGCAGAAGTGACGTCTGATAAAGAGAAACAGAAGGAACAAGAAGCGAACCAAGAGACTGATATGAAAAGATCTCGCCAGGACTCGGCAGATTTCAAAATACGACTCAGGAAGGAATTGGTCAGTCGGGATGGACACAAGTATGTCTCAACCAGTTTGATGTAAAAGTATTATTAGTGATTGTTTTGTTACAGGGAGTTGTCCAAAAACACGAAGATATTCACATTAGCTTTTATAGATCCGCAGAAGGAAAAATCATATCACCTGCACACGGAGTCATTTTCTAGTTTCACTCTGCTGATGTTTTTAATCGTTAGGTTAGCAATAGGAGCTACAATAGTTATAGTATTACCAAGGTAAGCGATGAAATCAGCTAGCTCAGATCAGAAAGTCTCAAACACATGCAACAATATTGCAATTTTCATTAGAAAAATTTATAATCGGCAATTTGTTGTTCACCAAGGTTCAGTATTGAGAAGTTTGTGATTAGGATTTGATAAATTCACGTTCTCCTCGAAAAGTTTTTAACGATGTTTTTGTTCCAGTGATTTGACAATTAATATTACATATTGTACAGAGAATATAATATTTTTCATATTGGTGATGGTAGCAATAGCAGAAGAATTCCCAGGAATGGTGAGAACCCTCATTATTTACGAATAATCATCAATTAGAACAACTGCCAATGTACTTATTCTCATTGTAATGCTTGATTCATTTAATTTTCAGTCCAAATGTTGGCGAACTTTCAAAGAGTCAATGCTAATCAGAAGGATTTTATCAACGGCCTGTGTTGTGATTATGGGCTCCGTAAATATCTTAGATACGGTAAGATTGAGATCTTTCTGTCCAGAGATAAAGAAAATGTGTGTGTACGCAAGAAGTTATACTTCTTTGGCGTAACAAGATTGAAATCTTTCTAAAAATTTAATCATTCGTTTGTAGAAAAAACTACACTGATAATAGAAATGAACGGACACGGACTTCTCTGAAGCATTCGATAGGGTCAGCCATAAGTTACTAATTTGTAAACTTTCTTGCATGGGTTTCAATGGAATTTGTTGTCAACTTTTGGAACCATACCTTAGCAGACATAATCAATACGAATATTATCGCGGCTTTTCTTCAGATGTGTATCTAGCAACCAGCGGAGTCCCGCAAGGATCCAATATTGGTTCCTTATTGTTTTTACTAATTATTAATGATCTGAGTCCAAAAGAAGTTTTTAAAATGTCTTACTTACTTATGACCGAAACTTATCCTCCAAGAAACTGTGATTACCCTGATCTGCTATGCAGATTTGACTTTGTAGCCTTAGAAAAGAGGAGATATCAGGCATCTGTTTCATTTCTATATAAGCTATTGAATGGCAAATTGGAATGTTCTGTACTATTATCAGAAATTGATATCTTTGTTTCAAGAATATATTTTAGGCACATCAATACTTTTTTATGCAAAAGGGCACAAACTAACTCGATGTTGAAATCACGAATGAATCTGATGTGTCGTAATGCGACACATCGATATTTTTTGTAGCAGTATTTGTGAAATTAAAAATAAGTCTCGTGCGCTATTATTATTATTATTATTGAATGAATATGATAAAAAAACACGCTTTTGAAGAACATCGAACTGAAAAGTTAAGAATATTTTTTTAAATAAGCTTAAAACAATAACGAACGAAAAATACTTGTATTATTGTGAAACAAGCGACGGGCGCTTGATATACAAAAAATATGGCACAATGCACTTACGCTTTTTTCACAATAATACTAGTATACTAGGATACGTACAGCGCCATCTGCTCGCGAATAGATCAAGCAATAATGCCGATAATTCTGTCAAATACAGATCCCGCGGTTGAGAGTTACAAGCAAACAAACAAACAAACATACATACATACATGAGCAGCTAATAAAAGCGTTTTAAAATGAATATGTATCATCTGGTGACGTTTTAAAGACTATCCATTTTTTTCAGGCAACCTATTTAAATCAAAACATAATTTTTAGTTATAATTCGTCTCATGATGTAAATCTATTTGATATTATCATTATCGACACTGATAATATCAAATTGATCGTTGGTTTTGAAAAGTTAGATGAATAAAGTCTTCGAAACGTCTCCAGATGAGTATTCAAATAGAATAGAATCTCTGATTTTTCTATCAACATGTTCTTTCTATCTTGTTTTCCAAAAGTGAAGTTTAGCTCTTGTAATATATTTCATAATTCAGTTCTTCTTATATCAGGAAAAAAACTGTCTTCACGAATAACTGACAAAACTTTATTTAATGTAGATATTTCGTTTCTTATGTAAAATGAGTGAACTGTTCTCCTAATAGAATTTTTGACTTGTTCGTCGATAACCAAACACTTACTGCCGATTCTTTCGGTTGTGTACAGCGCCATCTGCCCGCGAATAGATCAAACAATAATGTCGATAATTCTGGAAATAAAAACGAACTGACAAATAAACAAACATACATACATACAGGGGAAGCTAATATAAAGCGTGTAAAAATGTGATCTCTCGCGTTATCCCACGTTTGTAGAAAAAAGACACTAACAATAGAAGAAAAGGTATTCAATACATTGAAAGTTTTATTATACAAATCGACACCTTGTATATATTATCTTTTTCAGGTATCATGTGTCCAATTCAAAAAACACTACGAAAACTGTTCGACAACGACAGACATAGATGCGTCATGTCTCTATCCTTCCTACTTCAGCTACTTTACTGTTCTGATTCTGATAGCTTCCTCTCTGCCGGCTTGCCTCTCCTACTTGTGGAAGAGTTTCTTGATGTTGCTCATCGCTGGGAGTCAATGTTTAGTAAACATTGTGGTATTGGGATCAGCTTTGGATTGTGAAGAGTTGATGAAACATTGGACAAGGTACGTGGAACTTTATCAGAAGGTATTAACTGTAGTGAACAAGTAGTTGTTTGTATGTCTGATGTTCACGCAGAGTCTTCTTTGTTTCATTATGAGAACAGTGGAGGGCTTTGACGAGCTTCGATGCGTTTGAAAAAATAAGAAAACTATCTCCATCCCTACATTTCAAAATTTTAAATAACCTATATGGTTATTCAATATTCTAAAAAAAAGATACGATATTCATTGTCTTGAGTTGAGGTTATGCTGCTCAATTTAAAACAGCCATGTATTTCTTCATCCTTTTGTTTTCCATACATTGAACTTTGTTATTGATAAGGTTTTGAAGAAGGGTTGAGCCAGAATTTTGTAGCCAGAAAATAAAAAATCCTTTCATTAATGAAATATCAGAATTGTCTAATGTCTAAGTCTTCGATTTCACTGATACTCAATTTGTTGATACATTAAACTATATTGAGTGGACCAACGGAAACATCAAAAAGGTCTACGAAAGAAAGTGGACATAGCGTGCATGAATATTTGAGTAGTCAAAACAACAACGAATTGATGATTCGGTTCGATGCTATTATACCATGGAAAACATGAATTAATGCATCGATATGTGACAATGTATGAAACACGGCTCCATCACTTCACGGTTGGCAAGGTTAGGTTAGGTTAAGTTGGGTTAGGTTAGGTTAGGTTAGGTTAGGTTAGGTTAGGTTAGGTTAGGTTAGGTTAGGTTAGGTTAGGTTCCTTTAAAAGGGAAAAGGACGTTTGAAGGAAGAAATCGTGGAAAAACAGCCCCATATGGAAAGAAAAATGTGGTGTATAATCAAAACATGCACTGTGTCACAAATCAATGAAAACGATGGCGAAATTGCTTGAATTGGGCTTCGAATTGTTTTGACATTATAATTCGTCTATTGATGTTAATCAATTTGATATTATTTTTGTTAACACTGATAATATCAAATTGATCGTAGGTTTGATAATGAAGATGCATAAAGACTTCGAAACGTCACCAGATAAGTATACAAATAAAATAGGTTTCTGCGGTTAGAAATTTGAACATTGTTCTACGTTTCGGCTTCGATTTTGAAGCCATTTTCAAGAAGTAGAAAATATGGCTTTACTTTAGGGTATTGATGTTCTGGTCTTGCTAAACCTTTCTTTATTTCTCTTGAATAGTTTATTCTCCATTCTACAATCTCTGATTATTCAATTAACATGCTCCTTCTGTCTTGTCAAGGAATATATTTTGATGTTGTGCGCAGTGAATAAAAACTAATTATATTTTTTCTTTTCTCTCTTTCTAGTTTGACACAAGGAAAGTACACACTCTCTGGAATACTTCTGACAGCTACTCTCGCATTGGCTTTCCTGGCTAGGCACGTAGGTATCCAGTTTTATTCAAATTTAACATAATAATGATGGAACGGCCAGTCTGTTCATCACATTTTTTATTTGATTCTTAAAAATCAATCGTTACCAAAAAGTGACAAGGGTTTCAAAAGGAATTGAGACTCATGCAAGATTCTGCGGGTTTCTCATACGAGTTTTCAGTATTGTCTGTCACGTTTTCTTCGTAGGTTCTATAATAATTAAGCACAACTCAACTTCATTTTGTTACTACACTGACAATAGAGCACACATAATCGTCGCTCATCAGCTGACTTCACGCTGCACTTTCCGTATCAGAATGACTCTCCTGAGTCGCGGCAATGCTTATATGAGGCGATGGAACTCTTTGAAAGCTGGTGGAACAACTCACTAATAGAAACTCCGAGAGAGAGACAAGTGAGGCTAAGCGAGACCTTGACTAAGTCGCAGTCGATGGGAGAAGTCCAGTGTCGGCCAGCGTTATTTCTTCAGGGGATAATTTACAACAGTAACAAGTCGAAAAAAGTTGAATCTTTGAAGGCTAATGAAAACATTTTGAAGTGGGTCATGAATGATTAACGATTTAAATTCACGATCCTGAAATAAGATAACGTTTTTTCTTTCATTGACAGATGGAAAAAGTTGCAAGAGTGCTATTTCTATGGAGGTGTGAAGTGGAAGAGCAACGTGATTGCGCAGAAGATATGAGGAGGAGAAACGAGGCCTTGGTTTATAATATATTACCGCCACATGTAGCCACACATTTCATGGGTAATAGAAAGAGACAACATGATGAGCTTTATTCTCAGAGTTATGCTGAAGTTGGAGTTTTATTTGCTTCTATGCCAAATTTTTCTGGTGAGTATTTTTCAGTATAATTTGTGGGAAAGTTCGTTATTGACTGCCTTATTGAAACAAACTCTTCAAGAATGTTAAAACAAAATTTATGAAATGAAAAAATATATGAGTGAACACTTTGAAATATTATTGATGTCTTTTTGGGAAATTACTACAAATTCTATATTGACCAATTCATGCTGCTTGAATATTGATACAATTTGATGAATTTCCAGATTTTTACTCAGAAGAAACAGTGAACAATCAAGGATTGGAATGTTTGAGATTCTTGAACGAAGTTATATCTGATTTCGATGCTGTAAGTTATTACTTTGAATTGTATATAAATGAAGATGTAGAAAATTGTTTCAAAAGTTTTGTCCATCTCAATATCTTGTGTTTTTGTAGCTCCATATCTCAATAATTTTTTTTTCAACTGTGTCGCCGTGTATACTGATCGATAGAGAATTTCGTACAGTATAAATCGAAGCTGTTCATTTTCTTTCAATTCAAATTTTTTGCTTCTTTTTAGCCTATTACTATATGATGTCAATTCTAGACATTTCATACAATTTACACAATTTATGGAAATTCAAAACGTGTTTCGTTGAACAGTATGTATTGAAAAAAAGTAGATGAAATTCTTACTAACTTATGGAAATATAACAAATTAAAAGTCTCAATATTTCAGTTGTTTGTTAGTTTGTCACTTGTATGGGCATTAGAAGAAGCTTTACTATTTCAGTAGTGGAGACTGTAAAAATAAAAGAGCCTATTCAATTTTTATCAAGATAACCGGTATTTCCACAAAACACAGACTGCAAAAACTTGCATCGCCTGTGAAAATATGAACATTCCACTTTTATTGATGCAAATTCTGTAAAATTAGCTGTTTTTCACCAGTTATTCAGAATTGCTTCTTTCGAAGAAAATTAGATGTTACATCATACACTACATGGTCACCATCCCAAAAATGTTTATACCTAATTTGTTTTTTCCAGCTATTAGAACTTCCAAAGTTCCAAGATGTCATCAAAATCAAAACTATAGGTTCCACATACATGGCTGCTAGTGGGTTAAACCCTACAAGACAAATGAAGGTGAGGAATTTTCTGTAGCTTTGAAGACCGAGTTGGCTGATACGTTGTTTCTTTTCAAAAATCCTGAAAAAAATACACCTGAATATCTGTGCCAGGAGATTCACGTACAGGACAAATGTTTTTATTCCGAATTTGACGAGAAAGCATCTTACTGATTTTCCGATGAATAATAAAGAAATTTATAATTGATCCTTTCCTTCGCGGTTTGTCATAACTGCCTCTTTACTGGATATTTCTAATTTTTCGTTGTCTTTGAAATCGTTTAAAAAAACGAAGAACAATACTTGCTGATATACCAATAATACTCATTAGTGAACAAAATGCTTCTTTAGTTTATGTTTGTTTACATATTATATGATTGGGGGAATTAACTGTTTATCTTGTTTCTACACCTCTTTCTTCAATAGAATTTACGACGAAAAATAAGAGAGAGGGGGAATCAAAATCTAATTAATTACCAAATTAATAAGCCCTTACTTTTTTGACAGTGAACTTTTGGTACTTTTCATAAAAAAACTAATTCCCACACCTTTTCTATGTAAAAAAGATACATTTCTCAACAACGTATAAATAAACCTATTTTTTGTGAGTCATTTTTAAAAAACGAACAAAAAATTACATTTCTTCGTTCTGTATTTCCGAAACGGAGCATTTACAAGTTTATATAGATTTTTTTTTAATTAACTCATGAATACGTCCCTTGAATATTCTAACGTACACCCTGTATATGCAAATATCCTTTCAAGATGGTGTGTTTGTTATTGATTTTAGTGATGGCCACGTCACCATATACTTCTTTTCCTCGTTTGTTTGAAGGTGACTGACAATGTTTCATGATGAATTTCACTAGTTCGACTTCCATTGTCTACTATATAAAATGATTTGAAATCCCTGAAACAACTGAAAAAGAAGAATTAAAAATGAATAACTGAAAAATAACAATTATATTAAGCATTTTGCTATCGAAGAAAATGGATCAAAACATAAGCATTAAATTTTGTACTTATGATGCACTGTTTGGAACCTTTGGTGTAGTAATGAATATTACTGGAGTTCTTTCCCAACACCAAATCGTTATTTTTAACATCTTGACACTTGTTCGATCACCAAGTGATCATCTTCAAGAGGAAGATCAAACTGGAAACTTTCCTAAGCTAACGCTATTTATGCTATACAGACAGTACTATACAGGTACCATATAGGTATACCACCCATAAAGGTATACCAACCTGAATGATTGAATCATTTTTGCCCATTCTGAAGGACCTTTCATGTTCAGCATACTGTTTTTGGAAATTTGGTCGGCATTGTCCCACATAAACACTATTACACTCCGGACACTTAAGCTTATGAACTCCAGATTTTTCTAACTTGTCGACCTTATCTTTGGCATTGAAAAGGAAATGATATAACCTGGCATGTGGTCTGAATGCTACTTCCACATTATTTTCTCTGAAGAAACCTGCGATTATTTCTGTTATTTTTCCAAAATATATTAGCGTTACCCATTTCTTGATTTCTGGTTGTTTGACCTGAGGATATATTAATCTGTGAGTGAATTTCCGGCTTTGTTTCCTAACTTCTGGATAGTATCTGCATTGAAACCATTATCATGACCTACCTGTGTAATTGTATCAATTTCCTTAGCTAGATTGTCTGCAGACAAAGGCAATTAGAATGCTCTGTGCAACATTGAGTTGTAGCCTGCTAGTTTATGACTGTCTGGATGGAAAGAATCGCTTGGAATGGTGATGTCTGTATAGCTAAGTTTTCTGAAAACATTGAACTCGAATTTATTCTGATTGTGGCCAGGTCTAAGAAATTTATCTATCTCTTTATCGAGTGTGTACTGAATGTTGCTATTGAGATTGTTCATGAATGTCATAAATTGGTTCAGCTGTCGTGTACTACCTCTGAAATAGGCAAGAATATCGTCTACATATCTGTACCAATATAGAATACGATATATTTAGAAAAGAAACAATCACGTACAGGTATATTCCTGACAGTTCATATCACTGTGGACAGCACAAACGTGCTGGGTTGAATTTTTTAGTGTATCGTCTTTTGATTTTCACTCTAAGACATGATAGGTTCACAAAAGAAAAACGTACAATACAGGAAACTNATTATTTACGAATAATCATCAATTAGAACAACTGCCAATGTACTTATTCTCATTGTAATGCTTGATTCATTTAATTTTCAGTCCAAATGTTGGCGAACTTTCAAAGAGTCAATGCTAATCAGAAGGATTTTATCAACGGCCTGTGTTGTGATTATGGGCTCCGTAAATATCTTAGATACGGTAAGATTGAGATCTTTCTGTCCAGAGATAAAGAAAATGTGTGTGTACGCAAGAAGTTATACTTCTTTGGCGTAACAAGATTGAAATCTTTCTATTGTAAACTTTCTTGCATGGGTTTCAATGGAATTTGTTGTCAACTTTTGGAATCATACCTTAGCAGACATAATCAATACGAATATTATCGCGGCTTTTCTTCAGATGTGTATCTTTGCTTCTTCGAGAAAAACAGAAATTCATTTTTTTTCAAACAGAGTAGTATGTTTTGAAGATGATTAGATGAATACTCAGTTTGTGACTATTATTCTTTGACAGATTTTCAGGAATTTTCATATATACACTCACCTATATATGCTTCAGATTCCTGTTGAAAAAGTTAGGTTTTATTTTCAGGAGAGTCCATATTTCCGATTCTACCTATTCTTTCCTAAGTGGAGAATTTGAAGTGGAGCCTGCCTATGGAGAGAAACGTGATGAATCTTTGAGGACAGCCGGACTCAAAACTTTCTTCATAGTCAGAGTAATCAAACCGGTAAGTAGTGAAAGTAGATTATTCGATTTTGAATCATTTCCACACATAGTGTGTTTCGACGATATTTTGTTCATTTGGGAATGCATCCATTTATATTTTCAGGAAAAACTTATTATTTCATTCTAATATAACCTGAAATCTCTGAAGAAATGAATGAAATTAAATTGAATAGGAAAACATTTCAATTATTTTGAACAATAAAACGTGAAATGAAATCACAATGATGTGAAAATAAGCGAAGAATTAAACAATTGAGAAAGGAATTGAAATACATTGAAAAAACTTCAAACCAATCTACTTAACGACGTTCAGCAGTTTAGCGGGAGTTGACCGTTTTCCCGCTTGATTACAGGTTTTGCATATGTTGCGTATCTCTACACAGGCTTAGTTGGATTCGTCCTTGAACATCAAATATGCTGCTTCTTTGAACTTCCTCTCAAACCACTGTTTCTGCCTGTGGATGATCTCAGCTTGAGACCACTTTATGTTATTCTTTGCTATTCCTGATTTGCTGGTTCCTCCTCGCTGTGTGTTTCTCTTTGCTCGTCAATACAGACTTCTAATGGCCTCTTTACTTTCACCGATATAGAATTTGCCACCCTCACAGGGTATCCAGTAAATACAATTCTTGGAATCGCAGTCCGCGTTTGGTGTTTCCGGATCTGAAGCTGGTTCTGACGTTGTACTTGGACCCAATTCTTCTCATCCTTTCCGACAATCCTCTGATGTAGGGAAGTGCAAGCACTGGTTGTGACGGCTTCTCTTTCTTACGAGGCTGTTTTTCAGCCAAAGTCAGTTCCACCATCGCTTTGGAGTAGCCATTCCGTTGAAGATCATTTTTGATGATATCTGGTTCTTTCTCGAGACTTCACTTCGTAATACAGAGCCTGAAAGCTTGATCCATTTGGATCTTGATGATTCCTTTTTTGGTAGATGTCCCTTGTGAGTGGGTTTTGCTGGTATGGGGGTTTTCTTGGAACACAAGTACCACGTCAAGTTTCTGGGCTTCTGAAATTAATTGTCTACCACTTTTAGGAAGATCTTCAACATGACCCGTTTCTCGAAACTTTCTCTCTTCAACCGCAGTGCAAATAATTAGTCGCGATCTTTTGTTTTCATTCATGATAGGCGTCACATTCTTGAACCATCAGTCCACTCTTTCGTAACCGTGTCGTGAGTGTCATACAAAGTTTTACCAAATGGAAAATTTGCCGTTTTTCTTGTCTACATTTAGTTATTTGTTCTGAATATTTGTTACGCAATTCCACTATTCTTCTGCTTTCCATAACTGTTTGACGTTTGTTTATTATTTTGAATCTAAATCCTAGTTTCTTTATCCAATTTTGAAGAGTTTTGTCACAGCAGCTCACGTTATGGCCGGAAGTATTCAATTTCTTCCTTATGATTTCAGTTGTAGGAATGTGACTGCTTTTGTAACAGTCGTATATTGTTTTTTTCAATGATTTTATTAGATAAACATCTAAAGGTTTTGGTAATCCTATATCACAACGCGTCTTGCGTTCATAAGGTTTGTTTTTGACTATTTTACGTACAGTTGAGAAAGGAATCTGATGTTGCTTGTAATAGTTTGTTTCCCTCGAAACCAAATTTGAGATGTAGATTCTTATATACATTGATACATAAACGCTGTATTTCAATATTCAAATGCATTCGAATCTTATTCACTGGCATCTCTTTTTCGCATTGTTCGCATTGTAAAAATTATCCAATACAAACTGCCACTTCTACAGTCCACGTTGACTAATTGGCAGCCGGTTCATTTCTATGTATTGTTTTTTGGCTTTTGAGAGTACCGCCAACTTCAAATGTGCACAATATTGTTTACTTCGACTATAACTCAGTATCAAATTTCCACTGAGAACCGCTCACAGTTTTTGAGGGCAAGTGAAGATAGTTTGTATCAACAGTCTTGTACAGAGGTTTGTCATTATTACTGGGAGCTAGAGGAATAATTATGTGATGCCAGATCATTTCCTGCGATAGAAGTTAAACATTTATTGAAAATAATCGTTATATCGTTCAAATAGTAATCGAAGCATCTTTAGGAACGTTTGCTATTGTCCGTCCTACCTGAGCATGTAGCGGTTCAAATGAGGCAGGATTTGGACTCTACCGACAGTCAGTTCAAGAAGATTTATATGAGCAGACATGAAAATGTTAGGTAAGATCCTTCTGTCAAATGGGAGCACTGAATTACAATCTACCACTCCAATAATTATGTTTTATTTTTCAGTATTTTATATGCCGACATCGTAGGATTCACGGCGATTTCATCGACGTATTCAGCTCAAGAGTTGGTGAAAATGCTCAATGAATTGTTCGCCAGATTCGATAAATTAGCAGAGGTGATGTATGAATATTGCTGCTTTATAAACGGGAATGATAAATTAATTTATTTTCAACTTCTTTGTGATTTATATAAAAAGAATGTATCAAATTGGAAAGCAACAAGAACCTCTTTATTCTTCAAACGTTCCACGCTACATTTGATGTGGTTCATTTTCTTTCTCTCGTCGTAACTGTCGGTCTACTTGATTGATTAACTTTGGAAATGGGGTATAGAAATAGTGAAAGACTATTANTTTAATAAGTACAGAAGGACGGATAAAGATTTTAGGAGACTGCTACTACTGCATCAGTGGAGCACCAAAGGAAAGACCAGATCATGCAGTTCTGTGCGTTCATATGGGGTTATCAATGGTGAAAGCAATCAAGTAAGTGAAAATGAGTTTAATGATGATGTTAACGATTTTCTCATGAACATTGTTAATATTCCACATTCAATGTTAGCCTCAATAATCCGTTTTGAAATGAGTGACATATGCTACACATAGAAGTATGGAAAATAGTTTCAGTACACAGAGTGTTCCATGAAGACAGTACAGACATGACTCAGATTATTTTTCTGAAATAAAATATGTTTCACACAATGAGGAATACTTTTTTTATGATGCACTGTTTGGAACCTTTGGTGTAGTAATGACTCTTACTGGAGTTTTTTCCCAACACCAAATCTTTATTTTCAACACCTCGACACGTGTTTCGATCACTAAGTGATCATCTTCAAGAGAAAGATCAAACTGTCAGTCTGATGTCAGTTTGATGATCACTTGGTGATCGAAACACGAGTAGAGGTGTTAAAAATAACGATTTGGTGTTGATCAAACTGACAGTTTGATCTTCCTCTTGAAAATGATCACTTGGTGATCGAAACACGTGTCGAGATGTTAAAAATAACGATTTGGTGTTGATCAAACTGAAAGTTTGATCTTCCTCTTGAAAATGATCACTTGGTGATCGAAACACGTGTCGAGGTGTTAAAAATAACACATTGGTGCTGGGAAAAAACTCCAACGATGTCTCGATACTACTTTTAATTTTCATTCTATTTTGAAATTGTATTACGCAGCTCTGCTTTGACTTTTTGACGTGAAACTCCTTCATACTGGCATGAATATACCTGAGCATGCTATTGTATAGTGTTCATACTAGTATGAACACCATACTAGTTCATACTAGTTTTTTCAGTTTTTTCACTATACAATAGTTTTTTCACTATACAATAGTTTTTTCAGGTATGTTTCTCACTAGTATAAACACACTTGAGGAACCTATTGTATAATTTTCATATTACTATGAATACGCCACAGGAAGCTATCGCCTAGTATACTAGTATGAGCATACCAAGGAAGCTATTGTATAGTTTTTATACTAGTATGAACACATATGGGGAAGCTACTGTACAGTGTTCATACTGGTATAAAAACTTTATATAGGAAGCTGTTGTGTGGTGTCCATACTAGTATGAACACTATAAATAGCTCCTTCAAGTATGCTTCCAATGGTATAAATACGCCTAAGGAAGCTATCGTATATTGTTCTTTCTAGTTTGAACACGCTCGAGGAAGCTATATCACGATAGTATAGTATAATGTTGTATTGTATAATGTTCATACTAGTATGAACATGCCTTAGGAGCTATTGTATAGTGTTCATACTATAAGGAACACATATGAGGAAGCTATTGTATGATGTTCATACCAGTATGAACCCTATACATAGGGAACTATTGTATGGTATTCTCACTAGTATGAACAAAAGGAATCTATTGTATACTGTTCAAACTAGTATGAACATGCTTAAGTAAGCTATCGTGTAGCATTAGTGTTCGTACTAGTATGAACACTATGCAATAGCTTCTTCAGGTATGTTTTCAATAGTATAAACACGCCTGAGGAAGCTATCGTATAGTGTCTATACTACTATGAACACGTCTCAGGAAGCTACGGTATGGTATTCACACTAGTATGACGAAGATGTTGAGTAGTATGGACACGCTTGAGGAAGCTATCGTATAATGTTCGTAGCAGTATAAACAAGCCTGAGGAATCTACTGTATATTGTTTATACTAGTATTAATACGCCCGAGGAAGCTATTGTATGGTGTTCCTTCTAGTATGAACACGCCTGAAGAAGCTATCGTATAGTGTTCGTAGAAGTATAAATATGCCTGAGGAATCTACTGTATAGTGTTCATACTGATATGAATACGCCTGAGAAAGCTATCGTATGATGTTCTTAATTTTTATCGGCGCGTTTTCGGACCTCTCCTTGAACTTTCTAGGCAAAAATACGAATTGAATGACACCTTGGTCGTAATTTTTGAACAGGGCTGAAAAATGTCACCAAAAAGAGCTAAATCGAGTACATATGAACTAGACTATAAGTGCAAACTCCAAAAAAAGTAATCAATGCAATAAATACTTGAAGGTTCATAATCAGCGACAAAAAATTCAGACCCTTAGACTGTATACTTGTCTCTATAAAAAAGGCTGTTAGCGTCGGCCATCAGGCGCATATTTCGTGAAAGTCGTAAAAGGAAGCGGTGATGAGAATTGCTGAAAAAGTATATCTTCTACGAATTCCATCAAAGAGGCTTCATCGCAGAAAATAAAAAAGCCCGAACAAAAACGAAAAAGGAAGAGAGTCTCATCAGTCACGGGAAATCCAATTGGAGCGGAAGGAAGTCGAACTGAGTATAAAATATCGATGGCAGAACTCCTTCAGCCAGAATATCTCAGATAAATAAATTCCGCTGATATGAAGAGGGTCCAATAATTGAGGAGTTGGCTTCATGGAAACTGGATTATTATTGGAATCTATGCCCTTGGGTGGAACTGGGAGGGTAATGGCGACGGTTTTTTTGGATAGTCATAGAGTTATTTCAGTCAATTATCTTCAAAAAGGAAAAACTACTATAGGAGCACACTACGGATCATTACTTGAAGAGCTAAAGGCAAAACTTGCGGAAAAACGTCCACATTTGCCAAATACTATTTGAACGGGTTGAAGAAATGAGAGCATCGCTGGGAGAATTGTGAAGAAGGTCTAAATATTTTGAGATCACCCTCCTATGTTGGATAATTCAAACTCTCGGCGAATTTGATATAATCAATATTTCTCTTTCATCCCCATGGCAGATTCATCTCATAACCATCCATACAAAATAGAATCAATATTCTTGACGATATTGGACAAATCGATCTTCAGGGATACTTCAAAGAAGATAATATAGAGACAAGTTCTTCGTTGAACCCATACGAATGTTTTTTGGGTTGCTGAGAATGCAAAAAAATCCTGAAATTATGGCCCTTTCGTGGTTTTTTGACTGTAATTCAAAAACTAAGCACTTATTGAAAAAAGTCCTTCCCTACAAAATTGAAGTAGATGAAATTCACTACGGAAAATATGTATCAACTTTGAAATTCAAATGATATTTGACCCTGCTAGAAGACTCATCGAACAAATACATGACCTCACCTCAAAAGAATGCAGTCGGGAATCGCCGGTGAAATTCTAGAACAGAACCGGCTACAGAACTCTAGAAAGCACCTTTACCGATATAAGCCCGTCTTCCCGACCCAAGAGGGCAGTTCAGAAAGTGAATCGAGCGGCTAAACAAGAAACTCAAATAGTGGAAATTAATTAAGCGTTGATTGCTGAGTGTTGTGATAAATAAATTAGTTTGTGATTTTTTTTTGATAATGAATTGGAATTTTATTAAAACAACAATAAAAATAATTGGCGCTACNACGACTGAAGCAGCATTGCCACGTTGAATAGCAATACTAATTATTTCTATCAAAAAAGAGGTAGAACGGTGATCTTTCGTTGCTTGGCCTATTCTCCTTCCAAGTTCATGAACGAATAACAGAGGCTCCGGGCCATAAACATCAAAATTTTCAACCGCTACTGAATGAAACAGATAGTTGTTTCCAAGGTTTTGGTATTTTTTCTTTTGTTTGTGATTAGTGGAATATTGTTAGAAACAAATTTGTTGGAGACAGTTTTTTAATAATTTGTCACACTGCATTGGTTTTTTAATCAAAAATTTGCTTCTGAATAATTTTTTTTTAATATATTGTCCCTTTCCGTTACGACAGAGCGGTCGAGCAACTGAAAGCTAAGTTTGCCAGAGATGAATTTCTTATAGAAGTGTATGTTAGGAGCTCCTAGGGCTTGTATTGAAACAATATTAAAAAAATGCAGGTATATCTATGTCTAGTTTGTTTGACAAACTAGAAACACAGTTGAGGGCACTTGAAACCTTAGGGGTCACATCTGACAAATACGCAGCCATGCTGTATCCTTTGGTAGAATCTGCTTTTTCTGAAGATATTCTGTGAATGGGAGAGGCATCGCAGTTCACGGATGAAACTTCATTAGATGAAAATTCCACTAATTATCTCAATTTGTTATTAGATTTTCTGAAAGCGGAGGTACAAAGTGAGGAGCGACAAAATTTGGTTTCTCACAAAAAGAAAGTGGCAAAGTTCGCAGCACTGATGGAGTCCTTATATCACTTCTCGAACCATCGCCTTGCTTGAATGGTATTTTTTCCCATCAAGAAGCAGTGTAAAATTAAAACACGAACTTGTGTTTGATCCATTGCTTTGAAAATAACAAAAGTAGTCTCACGTTTCGCACAATAACTCACAAACTTTTGAGTAGAATATCATGAATTCCAACAGCTCTCCTTCAAAAGGTTAGTACTGACTGAAAAAGCAGTGAATACAATAAGTGCTATGCCCAAAACTTTTTAGCCCAAGTATTAATTAATATGTCATTCAATTCACGGATTACTCTAACTTTCAACTCGCTCATGAATAACGCTCTCCAGATCGTTGAAATCTAGATTAATATGCGTGAGATGATATCCCTAAATGACTCCGTTGAAATGAAATTTCGTTTCCAGATACGTTCAACAAACAGCGAACTCCCCGGTAGATATGAGGGTCGGAATCCACACAGGAGCGGTTTTGGCTGGAGTTCTCGGTCAAAGGCAATGGCAATTCGACGTTTACTCCAAAGATGTGGAATTGGCAAACAAAATGGAAAGCAGCGGATTGCCGGGGTGAGGATGAATTGAATTAACCGCGGTAATGTATTCCTCTAAGAAATCTTGGCGAGCTACGTATATTTTTTTGAGTAGGTAAACTCTTTTCGAAAATATGTGCAACTCTTCACCTGCTCAAGTTTGTTGGTGAGAGGCATGAACGTAAGAAGTGTTTTACGTGTTGGGCGATTTTTTGCTATCGAAGAAAATGGATCAAAACATAAGCATTAAATTTTGTACTCATGATGCACTGTTTGGAACCTTTGGTGTAGTAATGAATATTACTGGAGTTCTTTCCCAACACCAAATCGTTATTTTTAACACCTTGACACTTGTTCGATCACCAAGTGATCATCTTCAAGAGGAAGATCAAACTGGAAACTTTCCTAAGCTAACGCTATTTATGCTATACAGGTGTACTATACAGGTACCATATAGGTATACCACCCATACAGGTATACCAACCTGAATGATTGAATCATTTTTGCCCAGTCTGAAGGACCTTTCATGTTCAGCATACTGTTTTTGGAAATTTCGTCGGCATTGTCCCACATAAACACTATTACACTCCGGACGCTTAAGTGTATGAACTTCAGATTTTTCTAACTTGTCGACCTTATCTTTGGCATTGAAAAGGAAATGATATAACCTGGCATGTGGTCTGAATGCTACTTCCACATTGTTTTTTCTGAAGAAACCTGCGATTATTTCTGTTCTTTTTCCTTAATATGTTAGCGTTACCCATTTCTTGATTTCTGGTTGTTTGACCTGAGGATATATTAATCTGTGAGTGAATTTCCGGCTTTGTTTCCTAACTTCTGGATAGTGGGAAGTCCAAAAGACAAAGTCGAGAATTCGGAAAACTCTGGAATTTACGAAATTGAATGTATGGACTGCGATGCAAATTATAATGGACAGACAAAAAGATCTATCAAAGTAAGATATAAGGAACCCATAGCACACTTAAAATATGGAAGACCTGAAAAATCAGCAGTCCCCTATCATATTTGGCAACAAATGCAACTATATGCCTATGAGAGTGTAGAAATAAGTAAACAATAATAATTTAGATAGGAATATTGTGAAATTAATTTTTATATAGCTGAAAATCGTTTTATATATAACTATAACATTTAATAAGTACAGAAGGACATGTAAAATAATAGATAAGGCAAATTGTAAATTTAATTTGGGGTGGTATACCTGTATGGGTGGTATACCTGTATGGTACCTGTACAGCATAAATAGCGTTAGCTTAGGAAAGTTTCCAGTTTGATCTTCATCTTGAAGATGATCACTAGGTGATCGGAACACGTGTCGAGGTGTTGAAAATAACGATTTGGTGTTGGGAAGGAACTCCAGTAATATTCATTAGATTTTGTGTTGAAAATGAAATTAACTGCTCAAAAGTACTTGAAATATTGACAGTGGTATACGGTGACTGTACTCGTGAGTCAAAAAAATGTTTACAAGTGGTACATACTTTTCACAGAAGGTCGAGAAGATGTGAAAAATGAAACTCGCCCTGGAAGCTCCAACACATCAACAACTGATAGAAATGTTGAGGAAATGAGAAAAATAGATATGTAGAATCACTATTAGAAAAATTGCTGAGGATGTCGGCATATCGGAAATTTTGGTCATGAAACGTGTGGCAGCAGCGTTCGATCCAAAATTGCTGCATTTTGAGGAAAAATACCTTTAACGGCGATCCAAGTTTCCTCAAAAGGGTCATAACTGGTAACAAATCATGGGTATATGATTAAGACATCAGAACCAAAGTTCAATCGTCTCAATAGAAGATACCAGGTGACCTAATACCAAGAAGGGGCGCCAAATTTGGTATTGTGGAAAAACAATCTATGGCTCTTTGGGCAAAAACAACACCGTAATCATGCCTCAATCACTGTATTCACCAGATTTGTCTCTCTTCGACTTTTTCCTCTTCCCAAGGTTGGAAAGTTCAATGAAAGGAAGGCATCTTGCGACGATTGAGGAGATGAAAACCGAATCACTGAGAGAGGACATACCAGTGCAAATCTGAATTGTTTCTTCGAGAAAAACAGAAATTCATTTTCTTTTCAAACAGAGTAGGATGTTTTGAAGATGACTAGATTTCAACGACCTATAAAATAGTCATCTCTCGGAGGAATCAGTCCAGTCATCACCCGAAGACGATTGTAGATACCAACAATCGAAACGTCGTGAA